TCCTCCTCCTCCTCCTCCTCCCTCCTCCTCCTCCTCCTCCTCCTCCTCCTCCTCCTCCTCCTCCTGCCTCCCCCCTCCCTCCTCCCGCCTCTCTCACCGCTTCTCCCCCTTCCTCCTGTAGCTCCTCCCTCCCTCGAGGCCGGCGGTGCCGAGTGCTGGCAGCTGCCTCGATTTGCACAGTGCGATCGCTTCGACGGCGCACTCGAAGTCGTATGCTGCCGTTCACAGGAGTCTGCTCGCCCCAGCGAGGTACAGTGGAGGCCCAGGCCAAGAAACACCCTGCTTGCCTCCAGGGTGCCCCGGGTGCCTTGGGTTTCGATGGTTTTGCTACGGAAAGCGTGACGTTCCCATACCAAAAATCCTTGGACGTCCTGGCGTCTCAGGGTTGAGTTTCTTGTGGACGGTTTCTTGTGGACCGGCCTCCACTGTACTGCACAGAGCGGCCGCGTGGCGGCGCAAGCCCATCGCCGAGGGCGAAATGCGCGGCTATTTGGGCGAGTCGGTGCTGCCGCTTGCAGCTGTGCTTTCGCCGCTTCAGCGCGAGGCACTGCGCAGGCGGCAGTCCCGCGGCGCAGCCCATCGCCAGAGGCGAGTGCGGCTGCCTGGGCGACGGCAACGGCGTCAGAGGGGGGCTACAGAGACCCACGGCATGTCGAATACGAGTGCCAGACCGCTTCGTGGGGCACCCCACAGCGGCGAAACCCATGCGCCTGGTATGAAGACGCCTGCCTAGGCAACGAGGCTTATGATGTTGCAGCCTGTTTTTGCCTTGACCACCCAGAAGAATTTCGAGCACGAGGAGGTTCACGTGTCGGGCCCTGGAAGGCGATATTCATTCGTTCGACACTTCGCTAGCGTGTCGGGCAGACACTGTTTCGATACTGATATGGGTGCTCGAAATTATGTGGGGGATGTGGTCCTAAAGTACGACTGGAGCAACATAAGACGAGGCGACATCCTGCGCCGGCGCGGGACGTCTTGTCTTGCGCGCGTGCTCAAACAGATGCGCACCGCCACAGCCGCTTCGGCATCCTTACCTCAGCGACGTCGCGCGCACACGGCGCGAAAGCCCCCCCCGCGATAGAGGGAGGGAAAGAAAACCTTGAGCCTTGGAAGGCTTTGCCGCGGTCGGTCTCGCGCGGGATTGCGCATCCGCGGCGCGCGCGGCTCGGGCAGCGATGCTCACCGACAGCCCTGGCGATGGGGAGGAGCGCCGCCAGCGCGCGCATATTCGCCGAAGCAGGCCCTACAATCGAGGTTGATCAGCAGGTCGACCCTGCAAAATCAAGGGCACCCTTGCGTCCTGTGTTTCGCAACCCATGCCTTCTACATTCCTGTGGCGTGGCCCTCGGAAGGGCCTCGTGTCCTCTCGCGTGTCCCATGCAATCACCCCCGCCTGTGACCCCGCTGCGCCGAGCACCCGAGAAAGCGGCCCAGCCGCGCAGACCGGCCCAGCGCTGGCAGGGCTTCGGGCCCCGGGGCGTGCTCCAGCAGCTGCGCCTCGCCGAGAGCCCTCGCAGCGGGCCCTCCTCCTGCAGGCCAGGGCTCCGCCAGTTCCAGGGCTGAAAAAGATGGAGAACGCGGGGGGGAGGAGGGGTCAGGCGAGGGATGGGACGAGGAGAGGTCCGTTCCAGGGTGTGCCAGAGCGCGGGCGCGAGGAGGCCGCGGAGCCCGGTGCGTCCCTCTTGAGCCGCCGGATCTCGGAGGTCCTCGATTTCTTGGGGGAGGGGTGACCTGAGCCCTCGCGCGCCCCGCTCAGCTCCTCCTCCTCCTCCTCCTCCTCCTCCCTCCCTCGTCCTTCCTTCCTCCTCTCCTCCTCCCCTCCGACCTCCCCTCCTCCCTACTCATCCTCCTCCCTCCTACCTCCTCATCCTCCTCCCTCCTCCTCTCTTTCTTCCTCTTGAGCTGACGATGTCTGGCTGGGGGGGGGGGGGCATGCGCCGTCGACCCACGGCCGCAGCCGATCCGGGGTGCGCCGGCGCCCACGCGTTTTGCCCCGCCGCCGCCACCAGAGCCCCCCCGGCCCAAACTCGAGGGCCCCGGGCTGTCTTCCAATCCCAGTGAGCGTGGGGGGGGGAGCGGGAACATGGAAATAGCACATGTGGAACCCGCCCGTACGCCCCCAGCCCGAAGTTCGAGTCTCTGGGTCGGAATGGGGTGGCTTGGTAGGGAGCCAGGAGGAGGGGGTAACGGACGGGGGCGGGGGGGGGAGGGGGCGAAAGAGGGGCGGCGCGGGGGGGCCAGGAGCGGGAGGAGGAGGAGGCGGAGGAGGAGGAGGAGGCGGAGGCGGAGTCCGAGGAAGAGAAAGAGGAGGAGGAGGAAGAGGAGGAGGAGAAAGAGGAGGAGGAGGAGGCGGAGGCGGAGGAGGGCGCCCCCTCCCTGCCTGGCTCCCATTGCCCGCCGCCGACAGGACATGCTCTTCCGCACCTTCAGCCACGCCTGCACCTCAGGGGGAGGCGCACTGGCACGGAGGAGCCGATGGGCCGGCCGGCCCGCCGACACCCGCGGCAGTCGTCGTCGTCGTCGTCGCCGTCGCCGCCGTCGCCGTCGCCGTCGTCGTCGCCGTCGTCGTCGTCGTCGTCGCCGTCGCCGCCGTCGCCGCCGCCGTGGCCGTGGCCGTGGCCGTCGTCGTGGTCGTCGTCGTCGTCGTTGTCCCGTCGGCCCGCCGCCGTCGTCGAGGATCGGCGTCCCAGACAGCCTCGCCTCGTGCAAAAAAGAGCTACGACGGAAGGTGTGTGGTAAATTGTGGGCTTCCGTGGGCCCTTGCCAGGGCCCCAGGAGGGGTAGCATCAGTCACCGAGCGCGCTCCACTACTCGCAAAGTGTCTCCTCGCAAACGTCTGAACAAAAACGTTGGTCTCCCTCGATGTCCTATATCGTAAATCCCCCGCGGCGGATCCAGGGCATTTGCGAGCAGTTAGTTACTCTGCGAGTAGTGGAACGCGCTTGTCTACGGTAGGTTCGCGTCGTGTCGACCGGCGGCCACCTCGCAGCTGGCGTTCAACTGTAACGCCGTCAGCGACCTAGAATCGGTCGTTGTTGACGACCTGACGTTCCGGAAACGGCCGATCGTTCCAGGTCAAGCGATCCCCGCGGTGTCAGACACCAACGCTGAAGACGGCACGACTCGAACGTGCCGTACATTGGAGGCCCATGCCAAGAAACACCTTGTTTGCCTCCAGGGTGCCCTGGGTTTCTTGGGAGTCGATGGTTTTGCTGTGGGAAGCGTGACGTTCCCACAAGATCAATGGACGCCCTGGGGTCTCAGGGTTGGACATCTTGTGGAAGGTCTCTTGTGGAGCGGCCTCCACTGCAATCCTGGGAGCTCCGAGGCCCCGCAGCTGGCGTTCAATCCTGAACGCCGTCGGCGACCCACTACCCTCGTCAAAATTAACCTCAACAGTTGCTGGCACGTCATTGCGATTTCGGCGCGCCCCTCGATGTCGACATGCCGCCCCTTGGAGGGGCGGCGCATGCAAGCACCCCGCACTCATCGATACGTACTCGGCCCCAGATCTTCCGACAAGCAGTTCAACCACGTCAGACATTTTTGAGGTTAATTTTGACGAGGGTTGCAGGATCGGCCGTCTCGTGGAACGATCCGACGCGAACTCGCCGTCCTCGGGGGAGCTCCGAGGCCCAGCGCCTCGCCGCGGTCCCCCGGCCGAGCGCCCCGCTCTGGCCCCGCAGGCTCCGCGGGGGCCGCCCGCCCCGAGGTGGGCGGCCCGCCGGCGGGCCGCCCCTCGGCGGGCGGGGCCGAGCTCGCCGAGCGCGCCCCACGGCACGCAGAGTGCCCGCCCTCGGCGCCCCTGCACCCCAGCATGCTGATGCTATGTTTATCAGGAGAGGAAAAACACACACAGACACAATATACAAAAGTACGTCGATTCCCAGGAAAATATACAAAAATATGGACAGTGGGGGGGAAGACAGAAACCCAGAAGATATGGGAAAATATGGGGAATAATTCCCAACCCTCCTGCGTTGGGTTCTCGTTTTGAATAGAGCACTGCTCGCGCGTCTTCTTTCTGCCTTCCTTCCTTCCTCTTTCCCCCTTGCCTTTTGCCTCGCTCGTCGCTGCGTGCCAGCTGGGGGGCTGCGATCTGCGAAACTGTCGCCACTTTCGAGGCCTGCTGGGGGGCCCAGCACAGTGGGTACACACGGCGGATTGAAATTGGACCTCGCCATCCCTGGGGGGCTGCGATCTGTGAAACTGTCGCCACTTTCGAGGGCTGCTGGGGGGCCCAGCACAGTGGGTCTCACCGCAGACTCAAATAGGACCTCGCCATCCCTGGGGGGCTGCGATCTGTGAAACTGTCGCCACTTTCGAGGGCTGCTGGGGGGCCAGCACAGTGGGTACCCACCGCAGATTCAAATTAGACCTCGCCATCCCTGGGGGGCTGCGATCTGTGAAACTGTCGCCACTTTCGAGGCCTGCTGGGGGGCCCAGCACAGTGGGTACACACGGCGGATTCAAATTGGACCTCGCCATCCCTGGGGGGCTGCGATCTGTGAAACTGTCGCCACTTTCGAGGCCTGCTGGGGGGCCCAGCACAGTGGGTACACACCGCGGACTCATTAGACCTCGCCATCCCTGGGGGGCTGCGATCTGTGAAACTGTCGCCACTTTCGAGGCCTGCTGGGGGGCCCAGCACAGTGGGTACACACCGCGGACTCAAATTAGACCTCGCCATCCTGGGGGGCTGCGATCTGTGAAACTGTCGCCACTTTCGAGGCCTGCTGGGGGGCCCAGCACAGTGGGTACCACCGCGGACTCAAATTAGACCTCGCCATCCCTGGGGGGCTGCGATCTGTGAAACTGTCGCCACTTTCGAGGCCTGCTGGGGGGCCCAGCACAGTGGGTACCACGGCGGACTCAAATTGGACCTCGCCATCCCTGGGGGGCTGCGATCTGTGAAACTGTCGCCACTTTCGAGGCCTGCTGGGGGGGCCCAGCACAGTGGGTACACACCGCGGACTCAAATTAGACCTCGCCATCCCTGGGGGGCTGCGATCTGTGAAACTGTCGCCACTTTCGAGGCCTGCTGGGGGGCCCAGCACAGTGGGTACCCACGCGGACTCAAATTAGACCTCGCCATCCCTGGGGGGCTGCGATCTGTGAAACTGTCGCCACTTTCGAGGCCTGCTGGGGGGCCCAGCACAGTGACGCCACGGCAGATTCAAATTAGACCTCGCCATCCCTGGGGGGCTGCGATCTGTGAAACTGTCGCCACTTTCGAGGCCTGCTGGGGGGCCCAGCACAGTGACGCCACGCGGACTCAAATTAGACCTCACCATCCCTGGGGGGCTGCGATCTGTGAAACTGTCGCCACTTTCGAGGCCTGCTGGGGGGCCCAGCACAGTGGGTAGTCACCGCGGATTCAAATTGACCTCGCCATCCCTGGGGGGCTGCGATCTGTGAAACTGTCGCCACTTTCGAGGCCTGCTGGGGGGCCCAGCACAGTGGGCTTCCCGCACGTCTTTCTCCTGCTCTTCGTTCCCGACTCCCCATGTCCTCTTCGAGCCTGTAGTTGTCGCCCCTCGTTCTTGTATGGTTCTCCTGCGCATCATGCCATAGGCGCGTGTCCCAAGTAGCTTACATATCAAACAACGGATCCTGCAAATTGACTGTCCATGCAAGTTTCGGCCAACTCCTCGTTTCCCATGATACAAATGGGTTGGGTACGTCACAGGGTAATTTTATGTGTGTATATTTATTTGTGTGCCCCAGGGCCCCTTCAGTTTATGTTGTTCCCATCGTACGTCAGGACCACATCCCAGAAGTGATGTCGAGCATCCGGAAAAGTGCCAAAAGAGTGGCGAAACAGTGCCTCCCAGGGCCCGCCACGTGAAAGCCTTCGAGTGTCGGCACTTTTTTTCGGGTGCCCGACACTCTTCCTGGCCATCAAGGCTGAAGTAGGCTGGAACATCCAAATACTATGGCCACAAACATAAACTTTTGGCGCTCCGCACGGGTTCCTTGGATCCGCGCTGGGGGGGCCCTTGGCGCGCTCCGCGCGCCGGGGAAGGGAGGCCAGCGCGGATCCAAGAAGTCCGCGCGGAGCACCAAAAGTTGATGTTCATGGTTGTTGCTCTTCTTCTATACAGTGGGGGTCCATGCCAAGAAACACCCTGCTTGCCTCCAGGGTGCCCTGGGTTTCTTGGGTTTCGGTGGTTTTGCTATGGAAAGCGTGACGTTCCTACACCAAAAATCAATGCACGTCCTGGGGTCTCAGGGTTGGGTTTCTTGTGGAAGGTTTCTTGTGGACTGGCCTCCACTGTATGTGTGCGTCGCCCCCCCAGGGGCGGCCCGCGCACGGAGAGATCTTATGGTATATGCGTCGTGGCGGGCGCGTTCTGGCCGCACCGCTCGGGAGACGATTCAGTACAAGGTGGGTATACTAGAAGTTCGAGTCGGACGCGCGCCTCCATTGCGGACATGTAGTGTTAGTATGTCTCTGCGCGTCCCATACTCGCAGAAATCCGAGAGAAAAACTATATATATAGAATGAACATATATACATACATACATACATACATACATACATACATACATACATACATACATACATACATACATACATACATACATACATACATACATACATATATGTATATAAGAAAATATAGTTGGAAAACAAATAGTAAGAAATTTAATAAAAATAATAATAATAATAATAATAATAATAATAATACTAATAATAATAATAATCATAATAATAATAATAGTAATATTAATAATAATATTTTTAATAGTCTGTATCGATGTTCGTGTATCGCGAATTCCCCTCGGCGGATCCAGGCCACTTGCGAGGAGTTGCTTTCTGCGAGCAGTGGAACGCGCTTGTCCGGGGCGCAAGAGGCCACAGTGCGAACCCTACCCCACCACCCCTCAGAAGTCCGTGGGGTGGTGGGGTACTGGGGCAGGGTTCCCAGACACCCGACATCATGTTTTTGTTCAGAGCGTCGACCCCCAGAGGTCCCGGCCCCTTCCCCAGGACTGGCTTCTCATCCCCTGTCGTTTGTGTGACGCCCCCGAGGCCCGGGGTAGGGGCCCCGGAGGCCGAAAATGATGAAAGATCGCCCGTCGCGATTTGTTCATGACGCGAGGGGGATCTGGGTTCGCACCGTGGCCTCCTCGGCGGCCCGCCGGGTGGACCTCGGCGGGCGGGGCGGGGCGGCGGCGGCGGCGCGCGGGCCGCCGAGGTGGACGCCTACCTCTCGCGCAGGAGCGTGCAGCGGGCCGAGCTGCAGCTGGCGGGCGTGGCGTGCACGCTGGCCGCGGCCGGGCGCGGGACCCGGGCGTGGGCCCCCGGGCGTCGTCCGCGCCGGCGAGCCATCGAGAGAAGGAGAAGGCAACGCACAGACAACGAAGAAACAAAACGTGCTTTAAAGCATGCTGTTTTTTGTTGTCTTAGTACGTGTATAGATGTTGAGATATATGTTTTAACACCAGAAAGCAGTCATGGCAAAGTGGTGGTTCGGCGGCGAGCCCAGGGGGGCAAGGGAGAGGGGGCGGGCCTCCTCAGGGGGCCCGGAGCCCCCGGCTCGGGGTGCCCCCAAACGGTGTGGCGACTACACCGTGTGGTGAGTCGGTGGGGATTCGGGGTCACCGCACGGTTTTGGGCCTCGAGTCGTTCTCCGAGGATGTCTCGGGCGACAGGGGCCTCCAGGGTCCCAAGACCGTGCGGTGACGGACCGTGCGGTGAGGTCTTGCGGGACTTCGAGGTCACCGCACGGTCTGTCACCGCACCGTCTCGGGGCTCCAAGCCGGCCTGCGGAGACGTTCTCGGAGCCTTCCCCGAGGGTACAGGAGACAGGCTTCGGAAGGGCAGAGAGCTTCTGAGATGCCCCGCCGCCATTGAAAAAGGCCTCCTCCTCCTCGCGTCCCCGCCCCCCCCCTCGCTCGCCACCGAATGTCGGGTGGTGTTTTTTGTGATTTCCGGCCTCCTGGGGGGCCCCGTGCCAGGCCTCGGGACCCTCAGAGGACGGGCCGGGATGAAAGACCGGTCTCGGGGACGGGGGTCGAGACCTCTCTGGGGGCGGTCGGCGTCCTGAGAAGGCACGGCGTTGGGAGTTCTTGGAGGGGGGGGTAGCAGGCTGTGGCCGTGGTCGGCGGCCCACGGCGGCGTGCGCGCCGCCAGCGTCGTCGTCCCTCGTTCGAGGATCGAGGGGGCAGGCTTCTCTGGGTCGGTCTCGAGCCTTCTCCTGGGCCTCTCGGAGACTGCCCGTCCCCACGGCGGGGCTCCCCGCAGGGTTGGTTCCCCTCGGAGCGCACCCCAGGGAGGCTCCTGGGGCCGACGCTTGTCGTCGTCGTCGACGGGGTTCGCACTGACCGCGGAGGCTGTTGCCAGGACGTGCGAAGAGGGGCGGGAGCTCGCGCACAGTGGGAGCCCATGCCAAGAGACGCCCTGCTTGCCTCCAGGGTGCCCTGGGTGTCTTGGGTGTCGATGGTTTTGCTATGGAGAGCGTGATGTTCCCACACAGAAGAAATCAATGAACGTCCTGCAGCCCGCTGGATGAAAAAGCGAAGACGGCGGGGGTCGAGGAAGACATGGTTGGCCACCCGTTAGGCCACGGGGCATGGGACAATGTTGGATCTCAGGCCGACTTGAGAGTGTCAGATGCATCAATCACCCCTTTTTAATGTTATGAAGGCCAAATGGGGCCAGCGTCTGAAAGTGGCATTCTGCATGAGATTTCCTCAACAAAGTTTCAGATCGCCTTCCAGGGCGATCTGAAATTTTGCCATGCCGTTTGAAAGTGGCGATTTCGCCTGCATCCTCGAAAAATTCAGATCGCTGTTCATGCCACTTGAGAGTTGCGATTCCGTTCGGGACTTGCCCAACAAGCATTTTCTGGCCTCGTTCAGCAAGTCAATTTCCCCAGGGGTGCGCACGATTCTAAACAGAACTTATCGCTGCAATGCTCAACGCCCTGTGGTGCCGTTGCGTCGTCCGGTCCATGGACCTGTCGTGGAATCATCTTGGGGTCGGTCGAAGGTGATGCTCGAGGGTCCATCGACAAGGGAGGGTCGAGGGGCGGCCCCCTCGCATCGCCCCGATCACAACTTTTTGATCCAGGGGGTGGTAGGATCTCGGTGTTGGGTTTCCTGTGGAAGGTTTCGTGTGGTCGACCTCCTGCTGTACGGGGATCGCCCACTTCGGGACACCGACGCAATGCGTCCATGTTTCGGCAGCTACGTGGCCAACTCAGACTTGGGGCATGCCGACGTGGTGCATCTCCACCGAAGGAGAGGCCCCAGCAGCACCATTACCGCGCGGCGATCTTGCCTGCGCATCCAGTTGGCATTCTTCGAGCATGCATCGCCGACTGTTTAATTCAGCACTGAGCTTCATGCATTGCCAATGATGTTCTCAGATGTTAGTATCCTTCTCAGTCCGTGTCCTCCAGCGTCGCGAGTAAATGGCGACGGCTGATGCTTTCAAAGTGTTTGACGTTTGAGGGTCCATTTCACACCCCAGGGCCATCAAAAAAAAGCCCAAGGGAAAAAACATTGCCCGCAGGAAGGGTCGTTCGGTCTGGGGGCCCCACGCCACGACGAAGTCATGGCTCCAGCTGTGAGGGATCGTCGTCGTCCTCTCCCGAGAGAAGAGTACACCCATCAGTAATCTTTTTTATTGTTATGAAAATGAACTCCATTTTCCGCCTAAGATAATCAAGAAATTGGACTGGACCCTACGCGATGTCCTACAGATTTTGCTCGTTCAGACAATCGTATCTCTGGACATGGACTACTGTTTGATAAACCGCTCGGAGTGAAAATCATTTCCTTAGCTCAACGTGTACTCAACAAAGCAAGGGTGCACTGACTTGTCTGGCCCTTCTTGTACATCCTGGAACACTCGTCGCCGCTGCCCGGCTGCACCTCGAAGCTGTGGTCAGAGCGCACCCCCAGGAGGATCCGGGGGCTGATCCTGGAGAGGAGGCAGGGGCATAGAGCGCCCCAAAACGTGAAGACTGGAGGAGGGAGGACAAGGAGGAGGAGGAGGAGGAATAGGAGGAGGAGGAGGAGGAGGAGGAGGAGGAGAAGGGGGCGCTTGTCTGAACGTCACATGGTGGTTCCCTCAGGGGGCCGCCTGCATAGCAGCGGAAAGATGGCAGCGGAGAGGGGCGCTCGTCTGAAAGTGAGAATAGGAAGCGAGCGCATGGTGAAGAAAAATGCAGATGCACCGTTCCACCACTTACTGTGTGGGGCCGGGGTTGTAACTCAGGGGCCTTTTTTAGAGTCCCTTGAGGGTCCCATTCTTGCACCCCGACGGTTCCCATGAGGACTGCCCCCCCCCCCCTTAATTTCCGCTTGTTGCTGGAGAGAGTTTGCATAAAGGTGGGGTCGGGGGGTTGGTCGCAATCGTTGACGTTTTCGCGGCTCTGTCACCACGTCGAATATCGGGGGCGGCCCCGCTCAGACCACGCTCCTCCTCCTGCTCCTCCTCTTCCTCCTCCTCCTCCTTGTCTCGTCCGTCTCGTCCTCCTCATTCCCCCCTCAGAGTCGACCCCCAGACCTGTCCCAGAGCGCGTTCACGTCAGAACCCCGAGGCGGATCAAGCCGCTGCGACGAGGGGAGCCAGAGGTGGCCCCAAACTAGCGAAAACCTTTTTGAAGTCCCCCCTCCACCTCTCTCCCCCTCCCCCTATCCTCCCCATCCTTGATATTTCGGGCCCGCCCGAGAAGATTCTGGCGCCCTAGGAAGGCATTCGTTCTCCTTTGTTGTTTCTTCCGTCCCCTTCCTCCTCCTCCTCTCCTCCTCCTCTCCTCATCCTCTCCTCATCCTTCTCCTCCTTCTCCTCCTCCTCCTCTTCCTCCTCCTCCTCCTCCTCCTCCTTCTCCTCCTCTCCTCATCCTCCTCCACCCCTCTTTGGTATAGAGGAATGTCGCACCACCAGGCGTGTCCGTAGGCCTGGCTGGGCTTTGCGCTTGAGACTTCTGCCGACTGGCCATCCTGACCATCCTCAACCGGCAGATGCCGATAGCTGCGCGCATGTAGGGCTTATCGTGTTTTGAACGCGATTCTAGCCTTAGCGCCGCGCGCATTAGATTTAAAGTTCGCAACAATCACAAGGACGGTTGGCTAAGAGTTTTCTAAATGTTGGTTATCGCTCGCTCTTGCGCCGCGCACATTCGTCTTGCAACAGCTACAAGGATGAAGGCCGCGCGTTTTCAAAATGCGGTAATCGCCTTAGCGCCACGCCCATTCGATGTGAAAGTTTGCAACAGATGCAAGGATGGGGGCGGGCACGTTCTCAACCGTGGGCCCTCGCTTGAGATTCCGTAAGTTTGTTTAACGACCAGAAGCTTGAGCATGTGTAACAGTTGCACGGATGGAGGGCCGTTCCGTTTCGAAATGGGGATCTCTTTTCTGAGATTCCCTCAACTTGTATGGCCGGAACTGCAAATTTGTGCAGCTGCTTCACCGATGGGAGGCGATTCCTTTTCACGTTGGGGCTCTCGGCTGCTTGGCAGGACCATTTGTTGTTCGTCTTTCAAGGGGGCGCTTCTTGCAGTGACGAGGGAGGCTTGTGCGGACTGGTGAGGACGGGGCTTGGGACGGGAGCGTGAATTGCAGCATCGTTGATGCATCCTGGCTTTATTCAGGTATTGCTCCTCCTCGTCCCTACGAATTCCTCCTCATTCTCCACATCATCATCCATCCCCCTCCGCACTACTGCTTCTTCCCTCCACCTCCCCCCTGTGCGCCTCACTAGAAATATCTAACGTCGCTTGATTCAAACATTCGAAGCCCTTCTCCCCCTGAAATGCTAGCCAGCGTGGACCCAAAACAGTGCTTATCTAGCAAAAGATGCTGCGCAATCTATTTGGAGCCCGGTGCAATATTTGTGGTGCAATACATGTGGTGTGACGACATGTTGTGCAAATTGTGTTGTGCAATATTTGCCGTGTGATCTATTTTATGAAATCTACGCGATGAAACCCATCGGGTTCAATATACGGGGTGCAAATGTGTGGTGCAATCTACGTGTTGCATTCAATCAGTTGCCCAACTTGAAGCTGTCCTTCCATTGCTCGTGCAAACATCCCACCCTGCCACACGCAACTTGGTCGCAAGACTTCCTAAGACCGTGACGGTGGGTACCGAATGGCACTTGGCAACGACACCGACGACGACAGCGACAACGACGACGACGACGCCGCCGACAACGACTACGACGACACCGACGACGTCTCCAACGATTTCGACGACGACGACGACGACACCGACGACGACGACGACGACGCCGACGGCGACGGCGACGACGATGACGACAAGGACGACAACGCCGACGACGACGACGACGACGACGAAGACGCCGACGGACGACGCCGACGACGACGACGACGAAGACGATCAGGACGCCGACGATGACGACGACGACGACGACGCCTACGACGACGACGAAGACGACGACGACGACGACGACGTCGCCAACGAAGACGACGACGACGACGACGACGACGGGGGACGAGGGAGGACGACGACGGCGGCAACGACGACAATGACGAGGGAGGAGGGAGGACGGCGACGACGCGAACGACGAAGGAGGGAGGATGGCGACGTCGACGACGACAACGACGAGGGAGAAGGGAAGACGACGACGACGACGACGGCGACGAAATAGGAGGGACAACGACGAAACGCCGACGAAAACGACGAGGGAGGAAGGACGACCACGGCGACAACGACGACGGAAACGGCGACGACGCCAAGACGACGACGACGACGACGACGAGGAAAGACAGAGGACGACGACGGCGACGACGACGACGACGAGGGAGGGGGGAGGACGGCGACGACGACGACGACGCAAGAGCGCGGGCGCATGCTTTTGTTGAAAATCCGTTTTGCGAAACCTTGTGTTTTGTATGTTTGTTGGACACTCGATTTTGAAATCCTTCCGAAAACGAGAGTTTTTGAAGGATTTCGGCATGCGCGCGCGACGACGCGCGCGTGCGCACTTTGGGTTTTTTTCTGTTGCAGAGGATTCTCGCGACGGCACGCGCGCAAGGGCGTTCGAATGATTTTGACAGGCGCGCGCGAAGCCAGTTTGGTAGTATGTTTGGAAAAGATTGTAACTCCAGATTTCGCACGAGCGCGCGCGTAAGCTTTTTTAGAAAAGCAGTGTTGCGAAACCCTGTGTTTTTAGATTTGTTTTTAAAGCTCGATTTTGAATTCCTTCCGAAACCGAAGGTTTTTGATGGATTTCGGCATGCACGCGCGACGACGCGCGCATGTGCACTTCGTCCTGTTTTTTTTGTGTGCAAGAGATTTCTGGAAAATTGCGGTTTGTGATAAACGAGTGCGCGCGCACATTTTCTGTTGCAGAGGATGGCGGGGGGTACCGATACCGGTTCGGCTGGGATAATATGAGTTCACAGGTGGGATGGACATTGGGTCGGAGTCATATGTGTTTTACATAGGTCCCGGGGGTCTTTGATCCGGGAGGGGGAGGGTGGTAGAATTTATTCTTGCCCTAGAAAGGAGAATTAGTTGTTGTGCGCAGTGAATTTTCAAGCCCACTGCTCGCGCAACCATCCCACCCACACCCACCCGCAATTTGGTTTGCAAAACCCATGCGGCGGCGATTGCGATGTGTGCTTGGCGTTGGCTGCTGCATCTCCGCGATTGCACTAGCCCGCGCATGCTCGCGCGCGAAGTGGCCAGCTAGTTTGGCGCGACCGACGCGGTCGCGGTGGCGCTGATCGCTTGGCACTTCCAAGCGGGAATTTCAGTGCGAGTCGGCGATGAGGGCCGGCGCGGTATCATAGCAACGTCGACAACGGCAGACACGATGATGGTACCGATGTTGGTGACGATGATGACATCGACGACGGCACGGCCAGTAACGGCGCCGATGCGGATCACGCCGACGACGATGACGGCGCCTTCGCGTCGGCGATGAGACTCCAGGAAGAAGTCCGACACGCGCGTGCGCGGCCGACGCGCGAGAGTGTTGAATTATTTGAGACGGATCGTGCCCACCCCCCCCCAGCACGCACGCAAGGGCGTTCGAATGATGTCGACATGCGGCGCGCGAGACCCGTTTGGCCGAATTGAATGAACATGTTAAAAAGGACATATCGTTTTCTAAAGAATCCGCACGAGCGCGAGCGCAGGCATTTTTGAACACTGATGTTACAAAGCCATGTGTGGTTATATGTTGTTTGGGGACACGCGGTTTTAGATCCCTACGAAATCCCAGGTTTTTACGGGATTCCCGCATGTGCGCGCGACGACGCGCGCGTGTGCACTTCGTCCCGTTTTATTCCTTGTGGTTCTTACGACAGCAGCGCGCAAGGGCGTGCGAGCGACCTCGACACGCGTGCGCGAAAGGCATGGTTGGTAGAATTGGATGAAAATGTTGGAAACCTCGCAAGCGCGCGAGCGCAAGTATTTTTGAAAATTAGCATTGCGAAACCATGTGATTTGTTCCCTACCTAGGCACTTCCTGGAAGGGTTCTTACTCGCTTGGCTTAACGGGCCGGGCAGTGGAACCCGCCCCGGGCGGTTCCCCCGGCCCTTTGGGATCAAGCAAAAGCAACAGCAAAGGTAAAAGCAAACGCGCGGTTACCCCAATTGCGCTCCCTGGGTGACAAGCAAAAGCAAAAGCAAAAGCAAAAGTGAAGGCAAAAGCGAAGGCAAAGCAAAAGCGTAGCATAGCATAGCATAACATAGCGTACCATAGCACAGCATAGCATAGCGTAGCATAGCGCAGCATAGCATACCGCAGCACAGCCTAGCCCAGCCTAGCCCAGCATAGCATTGCGCAGCATAGCACAGCATAGCGTAGCAGAGCATAGCAGAGCATAGATGTAGATGTAGGTGCCGATGTAGATGTAGGTGTAGATATAGATGTAGATGTAAAGAACTCCCCAGAGCCCCGCCCTCATCTCCGTGCCTGCTTGTTTTTGCTGCTGTCTCGGCGACTTGCTGCCTGCTTCTGCTGCTGCTTCACTTACGGCGTGGCGTCGGCGGTTCTGGCGCTGCTACTACTACTACTACTACTACTACTACTACTACTACTACTACTACTACTACTACTACTACTACTACTACTACTACTACTACTACTACTACTACTACTACTACTACCACTACTACTACCACTACCACTACTACTACTACTACTACTACTACTACTACTACTACTACTACTACTACTACTACTACTACTACTACTACTACTACTACTACTACTACTACTACTACTACTACTGCTACTACTACTACTGCTACTGC